ACATACATGACCAAAGTCTGGCAGGAATCCATCAATCGGTTCTTGAGATAAAGCGATCACGAGCTGTTTTTGCATACATAATGAGCCCTGTGACCTATGACCTTTGACCTCGTGATCCCAAAATCTAATCAGTTCATCGGCTCTGCAAGATACATACATGACCAAAGTTTGGCAGAAATCCATTAGTCGGTTCTTCAGATAACGCGATCACGAGAACGGGACATACGGACGGACAACCCGAAAACATAATGCCTCCGGCTACTTCGTAACGGGAGGCATAAAAATCATTTAAATTAAAAAAAAAAAATTAAAAATGAAAGGCTTTGATAATTTGTTCGCCCCATTTAAGTGAACCATTAAAAAGCAGACTTAATCACCGTTTTGAATGAAGTAAATTTTAATGCATTATAAATTGAGCAGAATCATATAATAATCAAATGTACCAAATGTATCGAACCCATCATATAACTACCAACAATTCCTGGAATAATCAACGCAAAGTACATCTTTACAAGGAAACACTACAGAATGACAGATAACAATAAAATGCAATTACAAGCAAAACTAAGCAGAATCTCTTAAGTTTTCCATAACAAGGTTGCAGACTGCTACAACAAAAGACAAGAGAGAATGCCTTCCATAACACAAAGACACTCTTCAAGGCACATTAAGATATAAAGTGTGTCTGAGTGAGGGCCTTTGATATCTTCGTTGCATTTGATTGCATGACAAACAATCTAAAGCAAGAGAGAGAGAGAGAGAGAGAGCTTCCAAACACCCAAATTGCACTTGTCTTGTCACGTCCTGTAGAGATACAACTCAAATCTCTGGGAGGCCACTTTAAGTCCCGATGAGAACAAAGGGAAGAGAGAAGGGGGTCATACGCCAATTGATGGGCGACGGGGATCATTGGTATGACCTTGATGTTACTAAGATGACACAAATGCTGCCAATTCTTGCCTTCCTTCCTTCGCCCTCGCACCATGTAACCACCAATCCTCTTTCTTCTAAATCTATGTCTGCTCCCTCATAACAGGAAACTCAAAATTACCAGCTGTCTCTCTCAAACACTCTCTTATTTGTTTGTACACTACCTCTCATACCTCCTAAATGATTCTATTTTTACTCAGGAATAAAAATAACAACAATACATAAATTTATAATATGAGACAGTTGTCTATTGATCAATCTATACTAATCTATAAATGAACTATTTAACAACATAAAATGATCGGATACTGCACAGAACTACAGATATCCTGTTCCACCCCCTTTTCTCTTTTTCTCGGGAGAGGGCAGGAAGGTTGTGATTGCAAGCTAGAAATAGGACATGGTAGACGGTCCCCTTGGGGGAGCTAGATCAAGAGAGAGAGAGAGAGAGCACCAAGCAAAGCCCAGCCAGCCGTCCTAGCTGTTCTTGGCAAGGCTCAGGACACTGCCTGCCTGGTGAGGTCCGGAAGCTCAGCTTGGGGTTCGTCAAGAGAGGGGAAAGACAGCAGTCCAAATATAATGGGGAACACAATAGCAGTGGGTACATCACTTGGCATGTGATTTTAAGCACACAAGTTTGTGATGACAAAGGGACATTGAATTGCAGGCGCTTTGTCTCAAGGTTTTGGCAGACACTCTATCAAAATGTTAACCAATTAAACTTTCACTGGAACAGAGAAATTCATTGTTGTTCATTTCATCCCTACGTGCTCATTCAAACAAATTTGCCACATCCAAAAGATACAGGAATTCATGTCTTTGCACTTTCACAGGTTTGCCTGACGGCAATTGTTTTCAATCTGAGAAATAAATCACATCCTTTTTACCAAGAATGGTTCAAAGATGCAACCGTCAAGGCCATTACAATGTCATCTCTCTGTTGAGAACTAGAAGGTGTTAACTCATAAACTTCTACAAAAGGATAACATCCTCCTTGCTCTCAGCAGATGATGTAAGAGGAATGGTAGATGGTCTATCATCATGCAAACAGTGTGATGATGTGTGGGAGGGAGTGAGTATGTCTCTGATTAAGGGGATAGTATCTTCATGAAATACAGATGCCTTGGTGACAGCCTAGACCACATATCATGATTGTGTGAGTGAGAACAAGAACGGCTTTCAATCAAATCGTTACGATATCAGCTTATGCCCTTCTGGCTCTCAGAAAAAAAATCTAATTCAGAAAAAAGAAAATAATAATCTCTACACTGTATATCTAGATGAAACAGTCTCCTCCTTCACAGCTTTTACTGTATACATATGAATTAAGGTTCTAATATGTTTCTTTTAGTCGACAGAAAAGTTGTTGTTGTTTTAGTTTTTATGGTGTGTATCATTGATTTTTGAATATTTACCCTGTAAATGAAAAGAAAAAGAAAAGATTTCAATAGCCTTCTCATCAAGCCTTAGACATTTTTCAAATCTCATCCAGGCTCTTTTTCTTTCCTACCTGAATCAATTAGTTCGGTCTTGTTATAAACAAGACTGTGGGGCCTATACAATCCAATGTTAGAAGCATTACATCAAGGGAATATTGAAAATAAGCTATAATACATGTAATAATCCGATTGTAATCTTGCCAATGTTAAATATGGACCAGTCAGTAAGCATAAGATGATTCATTGGTTTATTCATTTCTGTGAGTTATTTCTGGATCTTTACTTTCTTAAATTGCATCATCTGGAATCAATACACAGATATAGAATCTCAATAATGATTTGATCCCTGACAAAAATAATCCTCTCCTTAACAGGAAAGGTATTTCCATTTCATGTTGTCTTTAACATAGACCACAGTTCTTTATAAATTATTGTTTACATACGGAGTGGTAAGGCAGTAATTATTCTGTGTATGCATGTGCTTCAGTTTCCTTTGTTCCCTCCCTTTTCTTGATAGAACATACAGAATTGATATACCAATTGGAGAATATGTAGCTGTAGCTGCCCGTGAACATTGCCAGAGAAACTTGAAAGAATAACGTGAAAAGGAAAGAGGTCTTGTTGTTTTGGCAGAATGAGAGAGGGAGGGGGGAGGGAGAGAGGTAGGTGAGAGGGCGTGGAATGAAGTGATTCTCACTCCGTGGCCTTGGACATTATGCTCCCAGGAAGTGATACAACAGGAAACGCATGGATTGTGCCTTGGACCGCCGGCTTGGACAAAGATACAAGTCAGATGGTGCTTATATCAGGAAATCTCATGTCTCTTCCAAACCCCACTCACTCATAATCACCAAACTAACACTCTTCCCACTTATTATATGTTGAGGGTTTGTAAATAAGGATCCCTGTGGAAGGGGGGGGGGGGGGGTTTAAGGAAAAAACAGGTTGAGGGCTTGGTGGAGAGTTTGTCTAGGATTGGACTAAATCTGTATTGGAGTTCCACACATTTAGCTAGCAACAGTCTTGTTGGGTTGACCGAGGTAGAAACAAGATACCTAAGATCCGATTATGTCCATATGATAAAAGCATCACAAAGGATACAATCTTCTCACTCAAGCCAAGCACAATATAAACTCTGGGTATATCTTTTTGAATAGCATTACTGAGGTAGACGCGGGGGCTATATCTTTTTTTAGACAAGTTGAGCGAAGCATTATGCTTTGTTTTAAAATCTGCACTTTCAGTCAAAACAGACTGACTCACTCACATCCATAACAAAATAATAATATTACTAAGATACCCCTTTTCTTCCCCTTATATTTTCAATCTACATTAATTGGCTGGCACTCAAATATTTCCCCCCACTTTGAAGCGACTCTCTCTCTCTCAACCCACATGTGCATTTCCTCCTGCTTCTCTTCTGGCAAGAATTTGAGTGAACCTGGGCAGGGGTTCTGAGTCACACATTAGATATCATTGCAACCTATGTCTATGAATAGGTAGGTCATAATCTAACACTTTGATATGCAGCCAGCAACTATAAATACTTTGAGAATGTGTAATGAATTCAGGCATATTTAGGGTATACTTCCTACAATTAGAAACAACTTTTAACAACTCTTTTTCAAAATCTTGTAGCACATATTGGTCCAGTTATGAGAAGCAATTGCCTTTCGCATGTTGCACTGATGTGATGAGAAAAATGTGTTCATTCATCAGCTGGTCTTAAAAAACAATGTTCTCTGTATGTTTCTATATCACTGATGAATTCAATCTACTCAGGTTCAGTCTAATCAGGGTTGGTGCACATTCAACACCTTCAGAGAAATCCCGCTAACATAAATGTTGGTCAAGAAAAGCAGTACTGGTATACATCTATCATACTTCTTTGTTTTGATCATGTTTCTCTGGACGGTGTTACGGAAGGTCTCCTGAATATCTCAATGCTTTGCCATCCTCTGACACCAACAAGAGCTACAGCTAAACAAATTAAAACCGTACAAACCATGTTTGCAAGATAAAACTGAGAAATGACCAGCAAAACTGTACTATGATCCAGACTAGCTAATCCACACCAAGACCAAGATCTAGAGATGAAGATGATCCAGGCTTGCCTGGCCCAGTTGGGACTTGACAGGTAGTTGTGTCTCTTTCAAACCTATCAGGTGGTGCTACTGCCTTATAACTCAGTCACATTGCATGATCAACTCAAAATGGACTGATAACTGATAAGATATTAACTATCTGGGATAATGTAATTTTTAATCAGATAGATGTCAGTAAGGGCAGCGTTTCACAAAATCGTCATAAGTACAACTTCACCGATATCCCCTTGAAATGCGCATTTCAATGGAATGTTGATGAACTAGTAGTTCTGATGGTTTCATGAAACGCTGCCCTGGTGATAGTCTCGTTAGTGTGACTGAAGTACAGTCAAACCTGTTATAGCAATCGCCCAAGGGAAACACAATGGTTTGTAGATAGGTGGTCTTTGTAGGTAGGTTGCTTTAGTTCATATTTCAATGATAAATCATTTTCAAGGGAAACAAAAAATGTGGTCTTTGTAGACAGGTGGTCACTAAAGCAGGTTTGACAGTATATCTGAACAAAGGATGCTAAACAAGATCTTACCTTTTCATGTATCTCTGTGGTAGACTGTGCATCACAGAATGCCACCGTGGCCACATCCTTGAGGATGGGCATCTCAACGCTACAGTCCCGTCCATCTAACAGCGCCACCAACGGACGACCTTGCACAGGGGTGGCTGCAGGCATGGAGGCAGCGGTGGTAGCAGGGTGACGGATTCCTAAACAGGGAAAGGAAGATGGAGGGAGATGAAAGGAGACAGAATAGAGAGCAGAGAGGAAGAGGGTTGTAAAGAGGGATTGAAAAATCCAGAAGATTCACCAATAGGGGAAAAGGAAATAATATAAAGATGTTTAGAGAATACAATGAGGTATTTGTAAACATTAATGTTTACTTTTTTTATTTTGTTGCTTTTAAGGTATTGAACATGTTGAATAATTATTATAAGTTAGACAGTACCTTCTGTGCGGTTAGAAACACCTGTATACAGCGCCCTATAAATGTAATTATTATTATTACAATGTTGAAATGATATCACTTTTATATCATGAGGCTTGAAAAATGAATCAGTCTTTCAATCTCAAATCCACTCCAGCCTTATTATGAAAATGAAGATGAATTAAATTTGTCTACTTTACATAAGTATATAATCTATAAAATATATTTAGATGTATTTCTCTAAGTGAGCAGCTCATTCTTTTCTTTTCTCTGAAGACCCTCAAATCCAAAGTAATAACAGATATTATTTCTTATCTCATATAATCTTCTTTAAAAATTCAACATCATCTCCTTTGAGAAGAGGAGAGATATTCCACCCACCTTCAACGATCCTCTCTACGGACATTCTTTGGCGCTTGGCGGCCCGCTTCTGTTTATCCATAAGGCAACGCGAAGGCGAGCTATGATTACTGTTGCTGTTGTTTGTTGCGGCACTGATGTCAATATTGATAGGTTCATCCACCTCTGGGTCAGGTACGGGGACGTCCCCCTCTTTCTTCTCTCCACCTGAGAAGTGACAGCTGCAGATACGCAGCTGAAGACGGACAGAGAAGAAGAGAGAGAGAAATAAATTATGATTGATCCTACAGGCATTCAAGATGAAGTCATAGAGAGAAAGTATTAGGTGAGAGATTGGAGATCAACAGAGGATCAACTGAGTTGAATTCATCATGTGCATCTCATTTATGACTAGAATTAAAGGAGGTGCTGAAATGGCATTCCATTATCAAACTTGGAAGTTTTTCAATCTAATAGATTATGTTCTCATTTGAAAAAATGTCAAAATAGTTTTTAACAAAATGCACACTTCGTTTTAATAGTTAACAATCCAAACAGATGACTGAAAACAGAAGACTCTAAAAATACTTCTAAAATGATTTATGAATCATATGAAAAAGGTATGATCATTTTAAGCTGATGAGAGAAGTAAGAGAAATGAAAATTGTTGAAATGGAATTGAAAGAGAATCCTAAGACTAAAATAATGACTGGAATGATAACAAAGGATAATGGGATAGATCACAGGCAAAACAAGCAAAGATAAAGATACAAGAAACCCTTCAGAACAGAATATATGCCAAGAAACATAGGATTACTGTTAGGATTAGCAAGGATTAGCAAATAAGTATTAGTCAATGTTAATGGGTTATTATTATTAGAGGTTAGTTCAAATGCAATAATTAAAAAGATTTTTTGTAAAGGTGTATTCCTTTTGCATGATGCATTATACTTACCATCCTAACAAAAAAGATGAGGTTTTACAATGTTAGCAACATTTTAGAAACTAACTGAGATGATTGTTATGCTACCTGGGAGTAATTTTTTTACGAACTGAAATGATGTTTGATGCATTACTTTTACCAATATGTTCCTTATACAGTCTTCATTAAATGTTACTTCCTTGCTTACACCTTCACAATTCACATACACGTATATGAGCTTTGACCTATCCACAGCAAACTCCTTACAAATCATCTGTGATGAGCCAGAATGGCATTAAATTTGTAACCCTTCTGGCTTTGAGCATATATACAATAGGATATAACAAACAGGTGCATATTGTGCGAATATTATGGATAGGTGCTTTCACTCAATGAATAACAAAATGGTATACATTGATCAACTAGTGTTGGAGTGCACATAGGTTAATAACTTGGGGAGGAGGAGGGGAGGATGGGGGATGGGGGGGGGGGGGGGGGTAACACCAGATCTGTTTGCACTCTACATAAAAACTTAAATAAACTCTATATCAATCATTGCATTGATAACAAATACATCCAGTGATTGCATACATTACACAAATGATTTACTATGAGGGAAATCAAGGCTGATGAAGGGACACACATTGACCCACACATACATGATGGTCCTTAATTCTTACCCTATACAAATAAATATCTTAAATTTTAACCACTAAATCAATTTCATATATACTGGGAGAGAGACTTCATATTCTCTGGAAGATGCTTATTAACAAAAATATATAAAGCAATGAAAATAAATAAAATATCATCTAGGATTATCACTGATGTCTATGTATGTACAATATAAGCTTCACTTCAGTCCTCTTTAACAGCTACATTACACTTCATTCATTTTATTGCAAAAGATCATATCAAATATTTGATCTTACCTGTATTATTCATTACATGTATAAACAAACAAATCCAAATGTAATAATGAACAGCTGAACCTTTGTCATTTAAAAAACACCTAATTGCATAATTTTTATAACAAATGGGACTAGGCTATTACGATTGTATAAAAATAGTATACATAAAAGTATGAAAATATGTAATAAACATGACCATGTATCCTTCTCCTTCATGAAGCCTAAACAGATACATTTCTAGTTAAGATGTCAAGGTTGATCTAAGCTCAATGCACCCAAAATAATACTCTGATAAAAGCAGGCTCAAAAACATCTCAAGTTCAACTATTTTAAGCTGACAACATCATTCCCACAACATCAATTCTGCATGTCCTCATTTCATCGTCATGGTGATTAGAGAATAAACCTGTTTAGCTAGTGGGAACAAGACCCTGGATATGACAAGCTTGACATTCTCATTGAAAACTATAAACCCCTAATAGATTAATCAAGTTTCTAATAAATGCTTCATATCAACCTTGCTGATGAAATCCACAACAGTTTCGTATCAGGCTGAAAACTTTGCCCACTGATCGAACAATAATTTGTTCGGAAAGTTACAACTCGTGGTATTTGTAAAAGCTTCTGGGAAATCTTGAAGGAGCATGGCAATGATTATACCACTAAACTGAGACATGGGAGCAAGTTAAGAAGATGGAAATAATTCCATTTGTTCTTCATATTTTACCACATGTAAATCAAGATGGAGCTAAAGGGTAATAACGAGAGAAAACAAAGTATAAAGTAAGAGAAGAAACAACCCCAAGATGCAGGTAACAGACAAATGACAAAACCACACACTCACTGAAGATCTACCCAAGACGAAAACTAATTGCTGATTAAATTCTGGCATTATGACTGTTAATACTAAGCTAACTGACAGCCTAATTTGCCAGCGTGTTGAATTATTTCCCCCTCTCTCAAATGCCAATATTCAATATAGATCGTACAGCTGTTAATTGAGTACAGGCAATAAGGAAATCACACTAAGCATGCACAATTTCTTTTCTCTTCTTATCCAAACTCCTGCAACAAGATAGAAGTTGTCACGTTTGATTACAGCATATATCTCATTTTCAAGATGTTATCTCCATCGTTTTAACATCTTGCTTAATCATGCAACTATTACTTTCTCTTCACTTCTCTTCTTCCATGGCAGAAATAAGATAAGAGCTCAATTTTTCAGTTCAAGGATTATAGTCATTAATTCAAATTAAGCAAAATCTTTCCAGGGCAGGATGGGGGTGGGGGGGGGGGGGGTGGTGAAAGCCGAGATACAATACTTTATATTAACCCTCTCCCATGCAATAATTTGAATCATTTTGGTAGATTTACATTGATATTAGAGATCAGGTTGTAATCTTCAGACTAGGAAAATAGTTTTAACATTTTGCCACAATCACCTTTTCTGTTGTTTTTTTTCCTCTGCAAAATTTAAATTGTATAATCAATGTCCCTATTTTTAAGTCTGGGGACCACATGCTTCTGTAAATTCAGTGGAGTTTCTATCAATTTGATCGCAAGGTAACGTTATAGGTGATTGCTGGGGTGTAAACTTTTCTGGATACAATACCAGAGGGAAAAGGTTGATGTAGAAAACCTAAACACCTGATCCTAACATGGCTAGAAGAAAGAGATTGAAGCACATGCAGGCTGGTGTCACAAGCCTACACATGCCATCTTGCTGCTGTAATAACACTCTATGTCAGGAGAAACAGTAGCTAATATTGAAAGAGAACGAGAGACAGAGTGAAAAGCAAGCGGTGACATTTCTACCCCAAACCTCAAAGCTCTCCGTGTCTAATCAACCAAGGGGCATTGGTTGGGGTTACACCAGTTTACTTCTCAAACAAAACAATCAAAAGGAACATTCTTTTCTCCTTTACACCCCATATCATTTAATGGCATGATCCTAGGAAGGTGAAGTCCCTCAAAGGCTCTTGAGAATATTGATGATCAAATGATCTGTTTGGAGTCAGGAGGGCATTAACACAGATACTTTAAAAGATGCGTCCTTCTGGCAGACAAAATGATTTGAGGGTAAATAGAAATGTCATAATAAGAAATATTTAAAAAATGTTAACAGTAAATCAGTAACCATAACTTGTGATTTCCAACCTGCCTTGAAAATAACACTGTGATTGAGCTGTGATAACCCCCTTACAAAGAAAAGAAGAAAAGACACCTCACAAAACAACGATACTCTACAGAAATAGACAATGTTACTTACAATACTAAGAAATCCTGTACAACAGACAGATGAAGACAGATCCTGACAACCACTCTGTGATATCCAGCAAGGAAGCCATACACAGATGTCACATACAATCTTAGTCAAACAATCATTTCTAATAATCAAAGCGGAAGCAGAGAGAATTAATCCATAATACTTCCCATTGATCCAAGGCCAGATTCAACACAATCTCTCTTGACTTTCTACCCAACTCATACAACCAAATTACCATAGAAACGGAATTCTCATAAAGTTGATTACTTTATTGCCTAATTGTAGTTGATTCCCCTCTCTGTAATCTGATTAAGACCCCTACATGTCTTCATATGATACTCATGAAAGCCAGCAGCAACATTTTATCTTCTCTCTTTCACTGCAAAATTTCATGAAAGACATTGATTTTATAGAGTCAAAAATTATGCATGTCAATGAAAATTAAATAACAGCTCTCGAAAATATGGGTCTACCCTAAATAAATTCCTTTATATCGTCGCTGTTTTCACGAAGTGACGGTAGTGAACAAAATTGCATTCACTTTGCGTTACGATTTTCCTCACTACCGTCACTTCGTGAAAACAAGGACGATATATCTGTTTGATCCTTGCTGATTTTTACATATCAAGAAACATATTTATTTTACACTTTAACTCCCTTCCAGTGTAAATTAATTTGTTTTCTTAGTAGTGTTTATAAAATATATTAAATAACATCCATCTTGATTCAGATTTATGTTTGCTCAAAAGCAATACATCATTATTCAATATTAAGTTTATTGCAAACATTGCAAACATTGATGCATTATAAATGTTTACTGAAGATATGTCCATATTTACTTCTATGATGTACATTATGTGTCACCCATTACCATTCTCTAATTAACAATCAATCACTACAATTACATAATCCGTCTCTTGAACAACCTCTTTTTCAAATTTGTCCTAATTTGTATCCCCCTTTCCTAACAATTCATTAATATTACATCCCAGTTGATAAATGATGTCATTAAACATCCATTTCATCTCACGGCAGGCATGCCAGGACAGTGACCAGTAATTACAAAAATTATACAAATGCCTTCAAAGGACTGCATGATTAAAATAAAAGCAAGCTGAACGAGAGAGCAAGATATCTTCATTTCAATAGTTGTCAAA